TGGCAAAAGTGTGAAGGCTATTTGTCTAAGGAAAGGAATGCCTTCGTCGAAGACTTTCTAAGGAAAATAGGCTAGTACTTACGTTTTACGAGGAGAAGGGAAACACCAATGCAACAAACCCCATTCAACGCCATTCGATATAAGGTAAATTCCCCTATGATGCAGCTCCATCAGTGCCCGAGCGGTTAAAACAGTTGTATACTGGTAGTTCGAACCGGCCAGTCAGTGTCTACTTGACAATAAGGCTTACATAACTTTTTATAGTGGCCCTTAAGGTGATACCTCCTTTTATTAAGAAGCAATTTGAAGGGATGAAATCTGGCTAATAAGGGTTATAGAGACATTAGGATTTTTTTTTGGAAGCAGGCAAGATGAAAAATTAGCAAACGCCTTCGCCGTAAATCGAACCACGGACCTCTGGAATACCGGGCCAGCGTGCAGAGCCACTACACCACGAAGGCACGCTAGGAAGGCGGGAGAAATACCTTATATACTCCCTCTTTTAAAGGGCGACTGGGGTTTTTAGACCCAATCGCCAAATCCTGGGTGAGGAGAATCATCATCCAACATCCTTTTAGTTCGGGCGCCAATGTAGACACATTAGGATTTTTTTTTTGGCCGGAGAGATGAAAAATTAGCAAACGCCTTCGCCGGGGGTTGGAAAGCGGGAGAAATACCTTATAGGTTAATTAAAACACGTTACATTTTTTATTGTAATAAACTTCTTGAAAGTAGTGTGATGAACAGTGTAAATTTTATTTTTTGCAGTGTTTCGTCTTTGAAGTCTTAGCAATGTATATCTGCTGCTTAAAATCTAGCGAAAAATTTAATCATTTATTTTTTTTTCATTTAAATTTGATATAAATTATTCTTTTTGTAGGTAGATGATATTTTAAAAAACGAAAGCTGAGATGCCAAGTAAGCTGAAATTGATTGAAAAAATTAACTTTTAAGACTCTGCAGATACACCGTTTATTGACGTGAGCTTTCAGTTCGTATTGCAAAACCTTCTGCTGTAACTGGGGCTTAACAATATGAAGAATACACACATACATGCCTTTTTAAATACCATAGTTTTGTTTTGGTCTCAAATGAAGAAATTAAACAGATTTCACGCTATCTATATTACAGAAAAATATAAAAGAAAAATTTTTATCGTTGCGTAACTAGATCATAAATCTTATATTTTTTATAATGTGAAATCTCACTTATTTTCGGAAAGAAAACCTATCGCAAAAAGTGCCTTTTCCCATTAAAGAGCTCCATTCGATATAATGCTGTATATACACAAATTAACTGATAAATTCTTTTTCTCTTCGTAATATTGATAAATTTCTCCCTAAAATTTGTTCACAGAAACATCCAAAAACAATAATTAATACTTTTCATGTTACTACATATCAGGCTTACGAGAGTAGTGAGAGAATTATATTTCGGATAATAAAACTACACTAGATAAAAAAAAAGATTTTTTTTTTTTTTAAATTAAAGAAAGCTACATTTTCATTCGCCAGAAATGTGCACTTAAACGTAGCCCACAATATAACTAAACATTCCCAATTGTATTTCAGACCAGTTATTGCACAGTACATTTTGGGGAGATTACATATCCATTAAAAAATTCAACATTCACAAATATTATCGCACATACTAAAAGCAGAATTATAACCATTTTTTGGTTTATCACATCTTAGACTAGTCCTCTCGTGAAACAAGTAAAAATATTTTATAAGAAACTCAATCAAGATATCCGATAAATTTTTTTCCATAGCTTTTGCTTATTTCAGTTGAGCGATAACATCGAAATTTATGTCTCTTTCAGGTATACAGTACCATAAAATTAACTCTTTAAACTGTATCAGTAAACTTTTTTAATTAGTTTCTTGCAACTACAGAACTAATATCTCCTTTGTATTTCTATTAAATATTTCTCTAATTAAATATTTCTCTGTTATATATTTCATCAAATTTCTACTATATTTCTATTAAATTTGCTACTCTTAAGATCTAAATCTCATCTCTCCCTTTTAGTTTCTATTGAATATTTCTCCTCTATATTTCTATTAAATATGCTGCTATTAAAATCTAAATTTAATCCCTCCCTTTAAATTTCTATCAAATGTTCCTCTAAATATTTCTCTAAAACTCTTCAATTATTTACTGAATTTTCAATCATTAAAATCTAAATCTAATCCCTCCTCCTATATTTCTGTTATATATTTTTCCAATTACATATTTCTCTATTTAAATATATTTCTCTATTAAATATTTCTATAAACTTTCTAGATAAACTTGAGAATGCAAATTTAGTATTGTCAAACGTTAATTAACATCCTAGTTACCCTTTAACCAATCGTAACGTTTAATATGAAGTTCGTAAATTTTAGTTTAATGTTACTTAATCCGAAATAAAATAAAGTTTTATCGCAGACATATATCGTAAATGAATTATTTCTCGTAACTTTAGCAGGAAAGTAGTTAATTTTTTCTGTCTAAAATTCTGAAGTGTGAAAGCGTAAATAAATCGATGTGTTGGACCAACTAATACTGAAATTCAAATGAAGCAGCGTTGTAAAAAATACGAAGGAAAAAAAAACCGAAAACACATGCACTTTTAAATTCTCTAAGACAAAAATCTGCATCTTTTTTAAAAGTCATATAACACAGTTTCATCTTTAAACTGTAAAAATACTAATATTTGCTTTTTAATCCTAATAATTTCAGGTGCTTTCTTATGTCATCAGCATTGATTACGCTTTAATTAGTTTACGTATGAACGCAATGCCAAGTGTCATTAAAACTCCAAAATACCGGCAAAATTCAGTTCGAACAAAATTCGTGTATAACACTGAAAAATGGTCAAACGTTAATTTAGTAATTTTACAACGAGCAAATTCAAGCCAAAGAAGGGGAGCGAAGAACAACTGATACTGGAGGGAATAAATTAAATTTGATTGAAGTATGAGCAAAGATAACAATGTTGTAAACGTTAAAGAAAAGCTAGTAAAAACATTTATTTTTGCCTCAACGAGTAGCACGGGAATAACCCTGAGCTGCTCTCACATGATCGATCTGAAAGCAATAAAATCCCTTTTTCAACCTTTGAAAAATTTTTGTAGTGTTTCAAAAGCAGGCTGGTTCACAAACTAATACTATTAGTCACACTGTGTTTACTAAATCCTCAAATTTATACCTTTTTCTGAAGATACAATTAAAAAAATTATTTCGTTTTATTTTTAAAAATGAATGTTCAAAGTTGTAACAATAAATATTTCTGAGAATAATGCTGACTAAGAAGACTGCCTTCAAATTAACAAAAGCCTAAAGCATTAACTTATTTAGCAAAGCACTAAATAAAAATAAGTTGCGGAATAGCAGTTATTAATTAGTTAATGGAACGGAAATCTTATTCAGTTAAAGGGAAGAGATTATTGTTAAACATCTATTTTACACTTTTATTCACTATATTTGGAGTTAAGAGTTAACAGTTTAGCAATATATTCCCACACACCTAAGTTATTTGAACATTCAATGAATACTTAATTAATATCAAAATTTAATTTAAACCTTCATCGCTTTCCAAATTTAAAATTTAAATGAATGTACTAATTATTGGTTGCCGATTATTAATTATTACACTGGAAATTTCGTATCTTATAATAACGTTAATCATTTACGTAATAATATTAATATTTTAACCCAATTATAACATTTATTAATTACGCTACACATGTATATTTTCTTGAAGAAAAATCGAATAAAAATTAAACATAGAAATCTAAAGCTTATATTTAATGAAAAAGTGATAAATTTCTTTTGTATAGTTATAAGTTGAGAGAATACAAGAATTTTTCTTTAAATGAATACTGCTAAACTGAATATTAATTCTGGAAGTTTATTCTAAGTTATTACGTTATTCTAGACTCAAAATTTTATTTAAAAAAATTTTATTTCTCTACATCCTTTACATTTTTATATATTAGTAACGAGGTTAATGGAAATAAATCAGCGTAAACGAAAAATGCTATAAAGCAAATGTGAACACTCCGATTCTCAAAGCGAATTCATTTGACCTTGACTATGCAATAAACTCCGAAATGAATTCACGAGTTGAATAAAGTAGAAAAAAATTGAATGGGATGCGTGTATACCTTAGAGCGCTCTACTTTTTAATTGGATTCTTAAATAGATTTCATATAAGTAAAAGATATTAAAATATATAATTGTATCATCTTTAATGTCCTCAGAAACCAAATACTCCTTACGCTTATCAGCCTTCCTCATGTACTCTTTCGCTAAAATCAACACACTTAAGTGTCACTTAGATGTGTTTGTAGTTAATAAAATACGTATGAAAATAAGGTCTATATATGCAAAATAAATAGTTTATGGCGGACACATTTAATGTGGTACTTTTAACGAGTTCAGATAACTAAAAAGTACTACGTGGTCTGATAACTATGTCAACAATATGTAGTAGATTTCCCATTATAATAAGTGTACAGATAAGTAGACAGATAAATAGGTGAAAATAACGAGGTAAGTATTCGTATGTTTGTGTATGTTTATGTGCAAAATGAATTAAACGAATGTAAGGTACAACTACAAATAAACTTTGGAAAAAGTCGTAAAATGCTCAGATTAAGTTTTTCGTGAAACAAATAAAATTAAATAATTATTTAATTAATACTTTGATTATTTATTAATTAAGCAATGAGTATTACATCGCAAGACTTTCATTTGTTGATCTTTAAAACATTTACATGTTACTCGTAAACAACTGATGTACATCTTGCGATTACAAATTCTGAAGATTAATATCAATGTACTAATGTATGGATTTTATAAAAACTGTAAACATCAGAAGATTTTGCGTGCCCACATCCATTTCAATTAGTTACATTTACGGAAACAAATGCAAAAGTAAAAGCAAAAGGAAATTACATGTAATTCAAAATTAGAAAACTGAATCAAGGAAAATAAAACAAAGGCATACTTACTTAAAGCAGCGAGCTTACAGGACTGAGCAAATTATGCGAATGACACCGCATTGTAAACTCATAGGGTATAGATCAGTACGAAGTCCACTTTCCTAGATTCTCCTTGCCTGTTACTGAATTAATCACTTCCGAGAGCTATTCTCTCTTTCTGTTTAAATCGTGTAACAATAATCCTTTTTACTGCCTTCTTTTGCATAAACGGAGCTCTTCGGTATGGTGGAAATGTAAGCTGTTATTGGTTACGTTTTAGCCGGAACTGAAAGGAGAGATAGTTATTAAGCTACATGTGTGGAATACTCCCCCCTGCAGATCGCGTTTCAAAATATAAATAGACCGATTTATATTTTTATCATAATATTTAATCCTTTACTTATGTTATCTGCTAATAATTCTCTTATAACGCAGAGACTGAAAAGCCGCCGAGCAGGTAATTCTTTCATTGTGATGGTTCATAGACAACATAGCTGTAGTGATTTGTTTACGCCAGCATAAAATGGTCACTGAGAGCAATGCATCACACTTTTCCAAATCGGATAAGTTTTCGACTTGCTTCTTACTCCTTCTGAGTTGCCGCACGTGAGTTCAGCTGAGCACACAGAGTATGAGCAGTGACGCTATAGAGAAGCATTTTTCGGTTAGTAAGAGAAGAATTTTATTTATCAATAAGCTGTTAAAATTAAGTCATGTTTTGCACCGCATAAAAGAATATTCATGTAAGTCACGGGAGGTTAATCTAGTTAAAAAAATTTACGACATATCCAGTGTTTGGTTTTTGACAACAAGTGACTGCGCGAGTTCTTAAGAGTGTCCGAAGTCGGAATTAAGCGTGGTTTTTAAAATAACAATGGACGGTCATTGTGCAGAAGTTATTCAAAAAGCGATTCGCGACCATTCATGTGTGCCTCACAATTGAGAGAACTTATAAAAAGTAGCATCTGATGAGTGGAAGCTCTCCTTCGTGACGTCATATTTCACAGTCGACGTCCCACGTCAGGAGACGGAGAGCATGAAGACAGGATGCTTATCCGATGGGTCCATCCGGTGCGCCCGCCCATGAGAATGAGGACGTAGAGGGGAGCTCGACCTCGCTGCTTAATTAGTGAGCCTACTTCGTCTATTAACGGCGTCACGTGGCAAGGATCTGCAGCTAGAAGCCTAAATAAACACTTTTGTTAGTCATCATTATCACTGGCTATTTCCCTCTGTCTTCTTATCCACAAACGGAACTTAACAGCTTCTGTTGTTGGTGATATAACTCGGCACACTCCTGCTTATCTTTGGTTTTTCACTCTTAAGCAATTATTTCCTCATCAGTAGAAGATAAAACTTAAGCCTTTTACATTCAAAGAGTGGTGTAGGAAATTTTAATTGATGACAATTTGCAAATGAAAATAGGTTGAAATCAAAATTTGATAGTTCATACCAATAAATTAGCTTTATTGTTGACACTTGTAAAAACATTATTGCGTTTAGCCGTGCATGATATCATAGTATAACTGGTAGCGCATCTAGAAAGCAATTAGAAGATCCGTAGTTCGAATTCTGGAGAGGGAGATCCGTAGTTCGAATTCTGGTTCGAATTCTTTATACTTTTCGAAGCCAGGGAATTTGAATTATCACATTCCCTGGCTTCGAAAAGTATAAAACATAGTCTATGCTGTGGCTACCGAACTAAAATACGGTGGATGACAATTTGTCATCTCCTAAATTTTAGTCGACTGAGTTTCGTTTTTTATAAGTGGGAGGGGGGATATGAAGAATTGTTGCAGCCCCTCGTGAATTCCGGAGAGGGCATAATTTAAATTCTCACATTCCCTGGCTCCGAAAAATACTAAAAATAGACTCTGTTGTGGCGCCCGACTTAAAATATGGTTGAATATAATTCGTCACCATCTGAATTTGAGTCAACCGAGTTCCGTTTTTTAAGTGGGGGAGAATATGAAGAATTATTGCATCCCCTCGGGCATGCTGTCGTGGTAGCAGTTAGATGATATGTGGTTTGAATATCAGCAAGAGCTTTATCGCACTCCCTGGCTCCAAGGAAACTTAATGTCTCGATACTTTCGCTGTGAAAATAATTAATCTCACAGTGAATCTTAGTTTATTAGCCACTCTGGAGGGTACTATTGTTAGGACAGGCCAATTGTTTCTTAAGGTGGTTCGAACATGAATAGGACATGGACTTCTCTGTCTCTAGGGAATGGTAGAATATAAAATCTATTGATAAAAAAGCTCTCCAGAGAGAGTGATAATAGGGAAAATGGGATTCGAGACCTTGTAATTCACTCTGCGTGATATTCTCAGTCAAAATTGTGATGGAACAAAAAGAAAAACCTTGTTGCTTTTTCTTAATAAAATAATTCCTTTTAGTCTATAATGCATTAGCCTTTTCAGAAGTACTATGCGCTATTCAAGATATATTTAAGTTAACCTTCCAAAATCCGATTTAGAGTGAAAGAGGTTACATTAGAAGTTAAGTTATAATAAATAAAAGAATAATGTTTTGAAACTCGAGTTTCAAAACCTACTTTTCAATATTATTTTGTTTTATTTTTATTACTTATCTTCTTGTTCTCAACAGAGTGTACATGAGGTTCATACATTTACCACGGCCAAGAGGAAAAGTTCGACTGTCGTTGGCCAGGGCCCTGGGCACATTATAGGTGATAGTAATACTTGGCTTAGTTCCGTCCAAGTTTTGGAGGCCGATTTTTATCGGCCAGAAAGTTTCAGCATACTCGTATATTACATTACATTACTCTATAGCAATTATATAAGGGATATCAGACATTATGAAACAGCAACGTATAAAGAAATGCTTTGGGTAAATACTGTGGCATTATTTATAATGGCTGCGAAAAGTCTTTCTGATTTAGATGTGAGATGGGATTATGCAAGTTTGTTGTGAATATCTGAAAATCTATCCGAAATGAAAAAAAAATGCAAAGCAGACATTTGATATTTACCTTTACGTTGGTAGAGTTTTAAACGTACAAAAACTAAAGCTAACTTATTATCAGCTTGTCCTTAATTAATGAATATAAAAAATGAGTAATAATATGTTTTTATGAAAACTAATTTAATATTGATACTCCGCATATTTGGAGATCAGGTCGCATTTTATACTTACACAGAGGGTTTAATTTCTAAAATCAGATGTCTCAGAGTCCTAAGTTAAACAGTTAGGAATGATGCATAAAAATTGGTATGAACAAAATAATAATAATTAAAACACTAAATTGCGAGAAATTAGAGTTAAATACAATATAAAATACAATATTAATTGCTATTAAATAAATTATCAGTGGATTAATAATCAATTAAATAAGTAATAAATATATTATAAAAAAATTAAATCATTCGTGAAACAAATGTGATATGAGAAAATTAGTAATGCGTTTGGTTACGTAGGATAAACGATGAGTAAATACAGTAAATAATAAATTTCGTTTTTTTCATAATTGGGATATATGTTTTTAATTCAGTTAATTAATATTGATCTTTATATCTGAATAACAATATTTGTCCTAAATAATTTTTCGATAGAAATACAAAATTTAGTAGTTACATTTTTAAACACAGTTTTTTTTTTATTTTATTTATCTTCACACCAGTTATATTTTAAACATTAAATTTTATCAAAAAAAGTTTAGTAATGACCATTAAATTATTACATAATTATTTCCAAACCTTACGCTTCAAATTACGGCAAAAAATACCGAAGATTAATATGTGCTTCTTAAACTTAAGCACAGTCCACTAGCGGCTGAGCGGTAAAATCACTGAACACAGCTAGTTTGATCCGCGGTTCGAATCTCGCGATCAGGATGGTTGCATGGACGTTTTCATGGTTTTCCTCATATGTAACGTGTATACGAACCAGTTTTCCTTAGAAAGTCCTCCACAAAGGCGTTTCTTCCCTGAGGCAGATAGCGCTCGAGGCTTTGCCATAATCACATAAACCAAACCAACCTTAAATTCAAGTCTGTTATCAATAACTGTTGCTAAAAGATAAAATAAGTATTTTATTGTCTCATTTTTGCACGAAATTTATTTGAAAGTTCTTTAAGAAATTATATTTTGATGACATTTAAACTAATATGCACTCTTTTGCAAAAAAATCGAAGCACTGGGAAGGAAGTGGTTATTTTTGATGAAATTGAATATGTGTATTGCTCATACACAGATAATAAAATGATTAAAAAATCAAGGTCATAGTACCTGTTCAAGGCTCCCAGTCAGCCATTGAGTGTTCAAATTAGTAGTTGGTCGAACCGCCCCTGGCGGCAATGCATGCTTGAAGTCGTCGAGACAAAGGGTGGTACAGGTTCCTAATGTCATCCTGCGACACATTCTGCCAGGCATTCATCAGTTGTCGCTCCAGATCTGCGATATTCTGTGGTGTCCGAATCTGGCGACCTATTGTATCCCAGACATGCTTGATTGGTGGTGAAAGGTCTGGTGACCTTGCTGGCCAAGGAAGAGTATCAACCGCACGGAGATAGTCCAGAGATTTGCGAGCAGTATGTGGCCTGGCATTATCTTCTTGGAAAATGGTACCAGGATGACGTGCCATGAAGGGTAATGCAACCGGCCGCAGGATGGTGTCAACATATCGTTCAGCTGTTAAAGATGTACGGAGGATGACTAAAGATGATCTGCTGTTATAATAAGAAATAGCGCCCCGCATCATCACACCAGGAATTATTTGTTGGCTGTATGCCTTTGTTAAACAAAGGCTGATTGGGACTGCTAGCCCCGAACGCGGTGGTCATCTGCTTCAAGAGTGAAGCGGGATTCATCGCTGAACACTATACGATGCCAGTGTGAATGGCAGCTATGATGATCGGCTGTGACGCCACTCTAGACGACTCCGCCGATTTTGTGGGGTCAAAGGCAAACGTCTTAAAGATCTCTGTGAGCGTAACCCCGCCTCAGACAAGCGCCGTGATATGGTGGACGGTACCACGGAAGGTATAGACGTGGCTGTAGTGCGTTGAATAGTCAACAATGATACCGCTGGGGCTGTTCGGGCCTGGCGAACTATCATCCTATCTTGCCTCGTATTCGTGCTCCTTGGCCTTCCAGAGCCTTCATTTCGTTGGCAATTTCCTTGTAGCAACCATTGCTGCCAACATCTTTGCACAGCAGTGTCTGTATACTGCAGGTGGCGGCCTATTACTCGGTATGACTACCCAGCTTCCCGCAACCTTACAATGCGACAGGTTCGAAGTCGTTTAGTTGTCTGTAAGGTCTTCTATATCGTCGTAATGGCATCTTTAGTTGCTTCTTTACGGAATTACAATGGCAGCAATAAAAAAAGATAAATTTCCGCCTATGTTATTGGTTTTATACTTTGCGAATTGCGAACTGGAAATGCGTGCTATGATCGCAATTCTTGTTCATTTGCCTTGAAACTTTGATCATTTGCAGGTTCGATCAAGATGTTTTTGCATACCAAATTTCATCACGATCGCAAAAGTCCTTCTTGGTTCTTTGATTTTTTTGCAAAAGTGTGTATTTAACATAAATATGTCGTAAGTAGATTTTAAATTTTTAAAAAAGAAATTGTCCGAGGCTGATTTTTCGCATAATTTAATAATGAGCTCCTGTAACATCTGCAGAAATGCATATATCTTCTCACTAGGATTAATAAAAATATATCTCGGTCAGTTTGGAGTATACGTTTTGTCGACTTCAGTTGTATGATTATAGATTAGTGTTACTTAAGGTACTAAGTTCTGTATTTCACATCGCTTAAAAGCTTTAAAATATGCGGAAATTTAAAAGCTAATGTAAAAAAAGTGTATGCACAACGTGAATTTTAATTTTAATGCACTGTACTAGTTTCTTGATTAAGCAAAAGTAATTAAGCTTCTAAACTTTTAATTATGAAAGCAGAAAAACGATATATAAATAGAACACATATGGAAATAAAATAAAAATATATGCGAAAGACATGGA